GTAACTTCTGCTACAAACAAGGTCTTCAATCATTAGTTTCCTAAAATATCTCCATATTTAGAAACTACATATTTTTCAATATTCTAACTTGATTCTTCTTGATCTTTAAATCAGCGCCACATAATATTGCATAATATTCCCAGAATATTTTGCATCTGTTAAATCATAATTGAATCCACTAATTTAGCTCAGTTTATGCGTGATGTCCTATGCTCCTTCATAGGACATCTGATACGACATGTTTTTCCAGATGATCAGAACTTCTCATCTCAACATGTCTCATCATAATATAGGACTTCTTGCTCAACATGTTCCTGTTAGCAAGTTAGCACATCCTATCTAACATGTTGCTGCTATATTTGTTTTACAAAAATTAATGACAACCCTTAAAACTAAGGAACTTACAATATCCCCCTTTGGCAAATTTTGGCTAAAACAAATAATAAAAATTATAACCCAGATTACAACAATAAATCAAAAACAATTCTTCAACAGTGGTCTTCAACAACTACTGAACTCAGCAGTACAGCACCATGGAATCAGTCTTTCGATAAGATGTCAGGACATCTTATTCAACATCTTCTTTTCAGTATTTTGAATAAGCTCCATTGCAATACCAAACCCATCACCAAAGAACAACACCTTCAAGAAAAGGAGTAGAAAGTCCTGAAGTCATTTGGTGTACATGAGGAAGAAGATAGTTGATACTCCCCCTCAAACCAGGAACCATTCCTTGTCACATAAGACCAATGGTGGCATAAGATATTATTTAACCAATTTTTGATCAGCAGCCACCATTCTACCTAGACAAATAAAACACCACTCCTGGTAACTCAGAACACATGTCACAATTATGTTAATAACTCAGATCACAAGTCATAAAAGAATGCAGTAGGATAGAACTTCTTATCCGACATCTTTGTGACAGATCTGTAAAAGCAGTCTCCAGATTAATCATCTGAGCACCTTGAGCACTTTGATCATCACTTTTCTCTCCCTTTTTATTCAAAACTTGGCAAAGGAAGCCTTCACAATACCAGACCCAGGCACAACTTTGCCCAAATCCGAATAAAACTCATTATGATGATGAACACTCGTATGGTGAAAGAGGACAGGAGAACCCTCTATAAATAGTTGGTCATTTACTTAAGAAATAATGATCCTTGAATGTAGCAATAATTTTGGTCAAAGGAAAAATTGTTTGAGGAGAAACTACCACCAAACAATAATGTGCACCGTCCAAGAACAACTTTGAACGTCTTTAATAACTCTGGACTGTTTCTGCTAAAAAGAACCAGTCCCAATACATGCACATGCATAGTTAAACACACCTTCTGACATGTGTTTGATCAAACTCCCCACATAAATCCTTTGTTGGTCTTATAGGAAACATGTCCGTAATAATGTTCTGACATCCAGTCAGACATTACAAGCACAAACATTGACCAATACATCTTCATCCATATTGTCTTCTGCTGGATTCTAAGTGTTCTCCTTTCACTTAGACTTAGTGACACACATCAAGACATTAGAATATCACATTTGTGACATCTCTCAATAATAAAGACCCTTAGAGAATCCTTCAAAAAAAAATTGGTAGAGAAAAATATTTTCTCAGACTCAACAATTAAACATACAAGAGATATGTGAACTTCTGATGTTCATCCAGGTTCACATGGCTAGAACCAGCCATGCCTTGTCAAGATCACCAATAAATGCACAATGTCACAAACATGTTGTTTGACATCAAACCCTTATATGAGGCATACGATCTCCACAAGTTCGAACAGCACACAAACGATATTTGAACCATTGCAGCAACAATCCACAGACAAATACATGACTCCCCATGTCATGAATAACCAATGCTCCAGCTGAAGATGAAAACTTGAGCACTAGATGAAAGCACATGAAAATTTATATGCTTTCATGTTGAAGAAAAACACTTTCCCACATATGTTGAACCCCGACTCCCTCGGTAGAGTCAAACCAGAATCACATACTCTCACTCCTTGAAAATACATCCAAGCACTCTAACTTCTTCACAATATAAGGACATATCTAATTACTTTCCTTTCATAACCACACTCTGTATCATGATCTTTTGAGTAGGCAAGATGTCATGCATACTAGGTGTGAAGTCACTCACAATTTTCAAAACTTCTTAGTTTTCTTAAAAGCTTTACTAAGATCCAGATTATCAACACTCATCTAGAGTGACTTTCAGCAGAAGAAAAACACCTCCTCAAAACACTCTGATCAGACCTCAGAATCTGTCAGCAGTCTTCTGCCCTTACATCTACTAGTAGTTGTTAATACTAGTGGAGTCTTCAACAAAGTAGTCGGGCATTCCCCAAGCATACTAATGTAGACAAGATTAGAAATGTCACTTCTGACAATAGTTAGAAATGTCACTTCTGACAATAATGCTTGATCATCCAACTCCACATGCACAATCCCAAGCATTAAAAATAAAACATCCATCAACGATCATGATATTATAACATCATTTGGGACATAAACTTCATAATACAAAGCCCAATTACTCTGGTTCTTAACTCACCATTCAAAGGACTCATTGTGTATAGAAATCCTTTAAGAAGCTCCCAATAGAACACACATCCAGTGCAACTTACTCAAGTTATTCCAAACGCCTGAATGCTATAGAGAGAAATAAACTCTCGCACACTCTCTGAAACACAATGTTCAAAATACAGAATTGCATAACTCCTCATACAAATACTTAGTCTCCCGTCAAAGTATTCACCATTACTCTCATGCACAACCTCCTTAGAGGATAAACAAATACACAGCTCCCGTCAAAGTATTCATTATAAGTCAGATAAGATTACCTTCTCACACAAGGTAGGATATTTGGTCTGATATCCTTCTTCTGCATACATATGGCACCAATTATTGATATTAATTCACACCATAAAGTATTCCAGATTAGGTCAGTGGCTTGACCTTAAACTCCACTCTAGACAACAACAACTTCCTTGGCTGAAGGAGTAAAACACACTTTCAGATGATGTTCCAATATCATATCTGACATAAGTCTCAAACACATGGATTTCACCATTAATTATGTTCTGGAGACACCATAGTAATTCATAACTCTTGCAAAGGATACAAGAGAATCAACCATCAGTAGTTGATCAACCTTCAAACTTAGACCAATACATGCAGGGCATGTACACCTCAAGAAGATTTCTTCTTATAAGTATAATGTTCAGACCTCCTGTCTGACTTTGAGGTGTCGGATGCCATCCTTATGCACCTAAAGAGAAGATTCCCTCTAACAGGTATCTGGAGCAGACTTCAACATTAATGGCATTTGTTGGCCATCACGAAACAGACTGTTTTGGTTAAGTATGCTTTTCCAACATACAAATATTCCCTTCAATCCTTGCAAAACATTTGGTCAATTATGTGAAGACACCACATAACTGAACCCTAGCAGAGAGGAGCTTCCCATAGATACCAGTGAAGCATAATCCTTTGGTCCCAAAACTAATAACTCATCGTTACTTCAAACAAACTGAAATGACTATCCTAGGTGACTCAGATGACACTTCAACTGTGCAGACACCAATCAACCACTGAATTCCAGTTGACACAACTCCAAACTCTTTCAAAACTTCTAAAAAAGAAAAACCTCATCAAACTTCTTTTTGTGCCTTTGTGCACTTTTCTTTTCAAACTTGACCTTTTTTCTCAAAGACTTGTTATGAGTCTATTCTTGAAGTGATAAAAACCACTACACTTCTACAATATGATGTGAAATTTATTAACATTTTCCACTTGAATGTTGAGACATGCTTGTTGAGTTAGTCCAAGCAAAATTCTCCATGTCAAGATGATGTAAATGCTCATTTCCTCATACTTGTGGGTAGTAAGTTGAGTTTTCCACTCGAATACGACAAAATGTCTTTTCACTTAAAATTAATCAACAAATAAGCAAGCTTTTTCATAAAAACATATTTGCAAAAGGTTCCTATGGAGTACCATATATGTGAGGGGTGCTAATATGTTCTCCTTGCATAATCAACCCCCGTACCTACGATCTCTCTTTTAGTTTTATTTTAAAACTTTTGTGGGTTTTGTTCGACCTTTTTCCCATTCCTTTTGAAAACAATAAAGTTCGATGGTGACTCTTGCTTTTCCGAGTTAAGTTAATCAATAGCTTAATCTTAATTTTTCCGCCGCGACAAGTGCTGATTAAAATTTGCAGATTAGTGGTGTTAGAATCCTGTAGTAATTGTTGGTTTGTAAAAAACACATATCGTTTAATTTACAAGTTGTCAATTCTTTATAATTTGTAACTCTTTGGATATAATCTCTAATCAATTTGAGATACTTGTGAGTTTTGTATTTGTATTCGTGATTGATTTTCAATTAAAGCATAATGTATCTATTTTCTGCTTTAAGACTTCCACATTGAAAAACTTAGATATTTCATTTTGAAAATCGGTCTTTTGATCGGTAGATCACGAGTACAAATACAAAACTCACAAGTGATTGATTTGATATGATGAATGAATTTTAGAGGTTTTGATTTGAGTAATTAATTAGTAAACGTTAAGCCGACCAATCGATTATTCGAAGATGTGGTGGATGTAAAATCCACCGATCTTATTATTTATAAAAAAATATAATTAAATTTGGTTTTTGTTTATGTAATTTTAAATAATGATTAAAACTAAATTACATGGGTACTAAAGTGATGTAAATGCATTAAGATAGATTAAAAATAAAATAAATCAATTAACAAAGAAACTAATTAAACTATCATAACTAAATAAAGAAATTAATTAAATTAGCTAAAAACTTAGGAGGTGCAAGGAGAGATAGTATGAGCTTGAACCTAAGTATTAAGCCCAAATTCTAACGAAAGATAAACTCTAAATTAAACAAAACAAATAATTAGTTTTATTAAAACAAAAACAACATCCTTGATTTTTCCAATCTTTATCATTCAGCTAATCAAAAAGTGACATATGGCAACAAAAAAAAGAACAACACACAACATTAAACTTCCCTTTTCTTCTTCTTTCACATTAGACTTTTCAACCTTACTTTGCTTCTTCTCCTTCTTGAACAACAATAACAAATTACTTTTGCACCTTACTCAAACCCACACAGATCTTTGGATTCAAACAACAACGACAACAAGACTTAAGAAAAGGAGAGAAAAGAGAAACCTGGTTGTCGGAAGAGGACGGCTCGAAATCGATTCTGGCTGGGCGTTCGCAAAAGGGGCAACGCGAATCGGAAGGAGTTGGTTGCTGCGCGGTGGGCTTTTGGGCGGTCGACGGAGAAGTCGGATTGGTGCAGTCGACTCTGCACGGTGGTGCGGATACGGACTGCCGAAGGTTCTTCCGGTATTGCAAAATTTATATTCATGGTGGGTTTCAGTATGGTGATGATGTAAGAGTTAAGTTGATATTTATGAAGGAAAAAAAGGGGTAACGTGAGAAGGATTAGAAAGTGAGAAGCTTTGACTCAAATACAAAAGTTTAGTTTTTGGAATATGTTGCAAAAACATGGTTAGAAACATATGTATGTTCTGTGTATAAATTCTACTGTACGTGTAAGCTGAATGAATGTGTTAGTGAAAATGTAAATTTCAAAAAAATAATATACCATCATGTGATAAAAAAAACAAATAATAAAAATTTAAAATTTAAAAATAAAAGAAGGCTTTATATTTGAATCAACGAGCAAAAGGAATAAATAACCCAAAAATGGAAAAAATCAATTTCATCAATCAAATAGTCAAATAGCCCAAAAATCAATTTTATTTGATTTGAGATTTATGATTAATTTAATCAATTATATTAGTTTTTTTCCTTAAATTGAAATATAATATTCTAAAATGAAAATAGAGCAAAATCTTTTTGAATGCTTTTTATTTTATAAGTTTTTGAATAAAAGGTGAAAAAAACTATTATTTGAAAATTCATTAATTAAAAATACGAAAATATTATTTTAGTAATAAAAAAATGATTTTTGGAGGTTTTTGAATATAATTTGAATTGGAAATAAAATTACTGACAATAACATAAAAAAGTTAAAAGTGCAACATTTGAAATTCAAACATGTGACCTTATGCTCGTAAGTTCTTCCTTCTTACCAATTGTGCTACCTTATTCATTTGACATAAGAAACCACTTGAAGGCATATGAAGGTGGAGAAATATTTACTATTTTAAAAATATAAATAATTTAAATTAAACTATTATACACTTTTTAAATAAAATAAATAAATTATTATTAAAAACTAAATGTTAGCATAAATAACCCAACATTTTATAAAAACCAAATTCGAAAATAATTTTGACTATTTGAAATGGGGCGGAAAAATTTGAGGTATGAAATCTATTTCACATCATAAGAGCGCGCAAACTATGTGGAATGTTCTTCAAACCCTTTAGGAAGGAACTGAAGACGTTAAGGGTTCTAAGATCAACATGTTAAAAGAGGAGTTTGACTTTTCCATATAGAACCAGAAGAATCTGTAGATTTCATGCAGACTCGTTTCCTCCACTCAATTAACAAACTAAACAACTTAGGAAAATCCTTTTTTTTAAAAAGATTGTGCTAATAAAATGTTAAGGTCTATGCACGTGGAATGGCAACCAAATGTTACCTCCATAAAATAATCTAATCATTTTAGTACTTTGAAAATCACACAACTGTTTAGGAAATTTGTTGAACATGAAAATGAGCTGAAACAACTCGCGAATAGCAAAGTGAAGTCGAAAAATAAAGAGAAATGTAAATAAGAGAAAAGTGATCTTTCTTTGAAAGTTTCGTCATCTAAAGTGAAGAAATCAAAGGAAGCGAGTGATGCTTTTGACAAAGAAGGTCCGAAATAAAAGGATATGGGTTTATTCGTTAAACACTACTGTAGCGATAAAACGTTGAGACTAAGCCATTGATTGACTTTACTCACAAAGTGAAAATTTTCACTGCACTTTATTGTTTCCAAAAGGAAATGGAAAAAGGCGAATAAAACCCAAAATAAAATAGAGGTCGAGGTTCGGGGGTCGGTTATACAAAGAGGTATTAACACCCTAAACATTCTTTGTACTCAACGAGATCCACTATGTTTGTTCTAATCAAAAGGGTGTGTTATCTAAAGCTTAAACTTGTTAAGGGAATGAATGAAAGAATTGTTAAAGAACAAAAAGAAAAGTTTGTATTATTGCGTTCGCCCGAATTTCGCAACCCAGTGCCTACGTATCCCGCGAAGGAATCAAAACACTATAGTTCTTCACAAAAAATTTGGTTTCTTGTATATTTTTTAGTGAATAATATTAAATTTCGCATTCTACTGCAGCTCGACCCTTGGAGACTCGCTCACTTGTCATAGAAAGGAATTACATGTTTTTTATGAAGAGATTTTCAAAATAAAAACTCGAAGGCAAAAAGGTTTGAATTGATGAAGTTTCTTTGTTACCTTGAAAAGGGATTTGATGACTTGAACCAAATTAAAGATTATGATATGAGAGACTTTGGATAGTCGAGCCAGACGCCTCGTATCCAAAGTAAGTCCACATGTGCTTAAGTCTCGTGTCACATGGTTCGCCTCTTTTTTGTTAAGTGTTTTTGAGATTTGATAAAGAAAAATAACTTTTTGTTTTAAAAGTGCAAATGCAAAAGGGAAAAGAAAAATCTAAAGGAAAACTCAAGTCCTAATGTTGTCATGCAATATGGACCTAGAGTTAAGATATCAAAGAGAGAACTAGCTTGAAGTTATATGAATTATGGTCCTAAGGTTAAGGATTAGGGGAACTTCTACCTAATGTTAGCATGCTTAGTTTAGAACCTAAGGTATATTTAACTCACATCTTAGGGAAGATGGAGTTAATCTCCTAAGGGAACATGTGAGCACAAGCAAATGACAAACAAGAACATAAACATCAATAGAAATGACACAAGATCCAACCAAACAACTAAGTGTGAAAAGATCAAACATCAACCACAAGTTGCAAGCAAACAAAGCCTAAACTCTAAGCATGCTTCATGTCAACAATTAATGAGCAAAGACGTGTCAAAGTAGAGACTAAAAACACATTATAATCCATAAGGTTCGTGCTCAAAATATTTTAAGATTAGAGGTTCTAAGACCTAGACAAAAGCAAACAAACATTGCACAAGCAAACAAGGCTTTATGCATCAAGCAAACACCACAACTTAGCATACAAAGGCCCTATGAGTCAAGTAAGATAAAAACTTAAAAATTCAGCAAGCACACACTCAAAGAGTTCAAGTAAACATGTCTCAAAGATAGGGAAGAATCATAAAGGAATCCATCAAGAATAGGGTCAAAAGACCAACCAAAGACCAAAACTAGTCCCTAAGAACTAAACCAAATAAACAAGGCATTAAAGATCAAACATGGCATTAAGGTAGGACATATATTAGGCAAGAAGCTAACTCAAAATATGTATCGTGGTTTGCAAAAAGCTCATACAAACATCACATTCAAACAATTAAGTAATTCAATCAAACATTCTCATCCTTAAGAGGAATTATTCATTCATGACAAATAAATGTTCAAGTAAACATGTGATAGAGCATTTAGATGAAACAAGTCAGAAGCATACACAATGTATTTAACATCTATCATTGCTTACAAACATCAACTATCATGCACAAGTATAGGTTAAACAATCAACAATCAAACCCCAATGCATCAACTAAATGAATCAGCATCATTATACTAACCAAAGGATCAATTAATACAACTATATGAGGTATCAAAACCAAGCAAACCAGAAGAAAGAGCATGTTATTCACATCATTTAAATTCACCAAGCATCAAGAAGCAATCACACGAGACAATGTTCAAAACTCAAATCATAAGATAGGCAAGCATCACTTCAAACATCATCAACATGTATCATCAATGTAAATCATTTGAACGGTCAAATAAAAATGAGAATTAGGGCTCTACCTTATGGTAAACAACTTAAGAACAAGTGGGAGTCAAAACCCTAATGATTGCACAAGTGCATACCCTAATCACTCAATCAACACAAACAATCATTATCACATTCAATCATGTATCAAGACTTCAAAATAAATAATTAGGAGGCCTCAAAATTTAAGTGAAATAGAATAAAAATGACATGAAGTCATCCACCTACTAAGTTTCCTAATGTGCCTAAAAAAGTGCTAAAAAAATCCCATCAAAACATTGCCAAATATTGACAATATTTCATCAAGACATCATGAATTAGAGGCTTGTCAAAAGAAATCAAACATGCATCAATTGATCACAATAAGACCTCAAATAAACACCCAAAACCTAGGCATGTATGTGTCTAAACATGTCTCAAAAATTGGATCAAGAGGCAACACAAACCCTCATTTAAAAAATGATCAACACATAACATCTTCACTTATTAAATCCAAATAAAATAGAAAATTAAATGGAAAATAAAAATAAAAATTATGGAAAATTAATTAAGACAGTGAAAGACCTAAAACATATTTTTAATGATTTTTGTGATAAAAAAAATTAAAAACGAAATTGAATTTTAAAAGGAAATAAAATGTAACAATTAAAGGGATGGGTGTAAAGCTAAAGAGCTAAATCAACTGAAAACAAGTTAGAAGCGCATTTGGGCCAAAAAGCAGGGGGTGTAAAAAGAAGAAATAGTAATCCCAACGCACAACTCAATCCATTTCTCTATTTTTTTTATTTCATTTTTTCTGATTAAAATGAATAAACGAAATAAATAAATGAACAAGGGACGGCGTGGAAAAGAAAATAAACACAGATCCAATCAGGAAAGGCCATACAGAAGTCAAATAGTCAGCTTAAGTCTCAGATGCCGGAGCTAGGGCTCTAGTCGTCTTCCCCGACCATCCTCGTTGGAGCTACACAAAATCGTTCCAAAAAATGAAGAACAAGGACACTATTTGTAGCAAAATTCCATGGATAACACAAATATGACCTCAAAAATCAATTATAAACACTCTATCATAACTAAAAGTGGGAAAAAAAACCAACATTAAATCTGAGGTTTACACAAACATCACATATTCAGACATAAACCACATCCTACATATTGTAGGGTCCATATGCAGATGAATGATCTTATTTTCATGAAATTTTGAGTTAGAATGAAAGAGTTACATGGTGGAGAAGTATACCTAGTGGAGTCAGGTCCACTACCTTGTCTTTCTGCGAGAAAAGATGAGAGAAACAATGTTAAGCTCCTCTACAATCCTTTTAGAAATTGAATGAGGCAAGATAAAGGATGAAGAATTAGAGATTATAGAGCTTCAAATTCTTCAAAATTTTAAGAGAAAAAAGCTTGTCTCAGATCCAATTTTCTTGCACAATGAGGTTGTTGTCGGGTTATAAAAGTGATGAGTGAGTTACATAGTGTAATTTTGTATGGTTAGAG